GAAGGAAGGAAGAAATGAAAAAAGAATGAAAGAACAAAAGAAAGAAAGGCTAAAGAAGGCCGGGAGATACCTTTAGATCAGCATTAGATAAACCCATGGAACAAATCCAGCCTGCCACCTATTTTTTTCAGGGCTCATGAACTAAGAATGATTTTTATGTTTTTAAATGGTTAAAAAAAATAAAAATAACCTACATTTTGCAATACATGAAAATTACATGAAATTCAAATTCCCATGTCCATAACTAAAGTTTCTTGGAAAACAGCCACGGTCATTTATTTGCATATTGTCTATGACTGTTTTCATAGTATAAGACAAGACTGAGTAGTTGAAACAGAGACTGCATGTAGTTCTTCATTAGTTCACACTCCTGCTGGCACCCAATTAATTTCAGTGACACAATTACACCTCAACAGAGTTTTGAGTTCCATGTGTATCACACACTATTTTATTAACTCTCAGTGTATATCCATGTTGTCAAAATAAGAAAAGACTGGACTCTAAATGTTGTACTTTTAAGGCGTAGTGGATTGTGGATTATTTTACCATCAAATTAGTTGTCAAAACATTTTGTTTCTTATGTAATGACAATATACTTTTGTTAAAAGAGTAACAACATACATTTAACATTACCATGCTAAGCACTCATAATATTCTCAACTCACAGGAATGCAGGGGGCAGAAAAATCAGAACATTTGAAACATGAGTATCTCATAACAACAAAATGTCTTCACAAAAATAATAAATGAAAAAGAAGTTTCAACCTAAGTAAATTTTTGAGTTTTATTTTTTTTAGCCAAGCAACACAAAACATTTACCAACCACGAGTTAATTAAATTGTGTTTGGTTGCAGCAGCAGAAAAAATGTATCCAGAGAAAATAAACTTTAGGCTACCAGCCTTTGGTGAGAAGCACAGATGGAAGAGTTGTAGATATTGGGGGCAACATCAACAATTAGTTAAAAAAAATAAAACTCAGCAAATATTATACTTTCAGGTGATTTTTTTGGCGCCTGATGAAGCTACAGATGCTACTAATACTGCTAATTAGTTGTTTATTTGAGAAGTCAATGCTGAATTTTAAGAACTGAAGAATTTACCCCTATTATTAGTCTGTATAGAAAAACTTCAGGTGAGAACATTTTCAAAGTAATGAAAACACTAATTCAGTAAAACCTGAAATGGAATCTGCTAAGATTTTTTTTACGTGTGATGATGGGAAAAATACGTATGAACCAAAAATGAGTTAATTTGGACCAATTTATAAAGCTTGTGAAAATATTTAAAGCCTATAATCATTCCTGTGTTATCCATCAATAAGCACTTTGTGAAAAATATTTGAACTTGTGTGCTATTGAATGCACAATGTCAACAGTGAACTCCACCAATTCTTGTGAATTTAACTATCCTATCATCAATTCTGTGATTTTTTTCCAGCAATAAAAAATGAATATCTTGAATTTTTCTACCACACAGCAGTTGTATGGCTTAAAGTTTTATTATAATTGTTTGAGCTCAGGGCAGAGATTAAAAATTTTTTGAACCAGAAAAATACACCTTCAGCCACTTTTGTGTAACATTGAATGGACTTAGAAATTAGAATTTGCAGTAACCTTGCTGATGTTTTGTGAATGAATTCAATATAAAATTATAAAGTGAAACAGTGATATCCAAAGCTTATACCATGGTAGTTAAAACATCCTCTCCATGACAACTAATGTTGTTTGACTCACAAATAATGCTAGTCTGCTTTTTAACTTCCCTTGCTATCAGAAATTAAAACCAGAAGCAATATTACCATCACCCATAAATTTGCAACAGATTTTCTGAGATGAAACAATAGTTCCAGGAACGTTTTTCAGACACCAACACAACTGCAAAAGATATTTTTGTATTTCAAAATTTATTTAAATGTTCACTAGAGGAGCTTCCACCTAACCCTCAACTGCAAGTGATTAATCTGTAATGTAATAACGGTAAAAGGCAAATGTAGAAAAGAATCTAATAAAATTCTGTAAGTGCCTTCAAGCAATGAATATGCACAATTGCGTGCTCATGGATCAATACCAATATTTGGCAGTACCTAACTGTAAAAAGACATTTTCGAAGATGAAATATGTAAATTCTTATTACAGACTAGCATTAAAAGATGAACATTTATAATTGATGGGATGTTGAGGAACAAAAACTTTGAATTCCAATAAGTAAAATGTAACCCCCTGGCAAAAAAAGTATTATTATCTTTAGTAGGCCTGTATCAGAAGAAATGCACTCAATTATTATTCTATTTTTAATTTCATCACTAAAATTTTTTGGCAATTTGTTTTTCCTTTCTTTGTATAGTTACCTAAACATATTTTTGATTTTGTATCTTGGCCCACAAAGTGTAAAATATTTACTATCTATCCCTGAAAGCCTAAACTCTATCGCTGATAGTATTGAATAAATTTTAGGGTTTTTTTTGTTGTTGTTGTTATGATAATGATATTGTGATGTATAGAGGAAGTGCTTTACTCTTATACACTAAATGCTAAAATGTTTAGAGATAAGGTGTCATAGTACCTGCAATTTAATTTTCAAATATATCAGCAAAGGAAAAGCAAGTGTGACAAAGGTGAAAATTAGTGAATCTAAACAAGTGGTACACATGTGTTCGAGTCTTTCAGTCTCTGCAACTTTCAACATTTTGGGATAAAATCAGGGAAGAAAAGAAGCCTTCTCTGACCATGTTAGATAAGTAACTCCCAGTCACTTTCCAAACAACTTTTCTATTTTATTTTCATGTTACTTATTATAAAATAATAAGTTATTGGTTTTGTTTTTTAAATTCCTTCATTTATGTGCTTATCATCTACTCCCCTGAGATAACATAAGGTAGTTGAGAGTAGGGGCATATCTGATTTATTCCTTGCTCCATCCCGAGTAGCTGGAGAAGCTCTGACACATTGCACTCAAGAGTATTTCGTGACTAAATGAAAGAAAAGAAAATGAGAAAAGTAGAAAACAAATGCACAAATGAAGGGCAGTGCATTATTCGCTGACACTCAAAGGCTTTAAAGACAGCCCAGGTCGCCCCTCCTCGCAGTCCTCCAGCCACCGAGTGAATTCTGTCCGTCCCCTGCTTCCACCTGCTAGCACGCTGTAATCTGGGCTCTAGTCTTAATCTTATCTGGGCCATACAGGGTTGACCCTTAGGATGTCAGATATTTGAACCTATAATTTTTCCTACAATTGGCTTCCTCTTCTTCCTATCATCCCTGGTCCTTCTTAGTCCCAGGCCCTCAGAATCAGTCCTGCTACTTGGGAGAATGCTGTCTTTCAGGCACTGGGCCAGTCACAGTAGTGATGGCCTTTTAGTTTCCTTTATTTCTCTCCCAAATCCTTTAATGCAGGTATTACAATCTCCAATGTGTTGGCAAGAAAACTGAAACACATGAAGATTACATACCTTCTATGAAATTGTATCAAGTTAGTGGTGGAGACTGGAGTAGAACCCAGTCCCTGTAGGACGACGTTTCTGAGTGTTTTTTTCCTCTACCATGGTTGTGATACTTATTTCCTCGTCACCTGTGGAGAAAGCCATTGGCAGGGATATCCATTTCTATACTATGCTGATATTTCTAAGAACAGTGACTGGGTTTCATTGAAATCAGTACCAAGCCCTGCCAGGAAACTGCATCTGACTCACAATTAATCCCCAGGCCCCTCTATTAAGGACTTGTTGATTAATATGATTCAATTGCCTAAACTTCAAATATTGCACTTTCTTAAAATGTCATTACTGCCTTTCCCCAGTGCAGTAATTAGTAAATTAATCTCAGCCGTCTGAAGGGCATGCAGTTGGACGAAGTACACACGGCTGACATGCAAAGTAAAGCAGCCCCTCGGTCACTCACTTTCTTGGGGTTCTCTTTTATATGCAGTGTAATATAGTTCATGCTTCTTCCCCTCCCTGCATAACCAGCAGCCACACTGGCCCCCTTGCTATCCCTGGATGGTGCCAGGCATGTCTGCCTCTCAGAGCCTTTCTCTGCAGAGCTCCTCTGCACTTCACTTATCAATTGATTTAAAAATCTGGTCAGTCCTCCATACCACTTCTTCCTGCATCCACCATATTCATCTATGTCAACCCACTTGTCCACCCTGTAGAGCCCCCTGCCTTCATCCTCACTGCCTTTCTTATCTTCTTTCTCTGATCTATATTTTATATCACTTATTTCTTATCATTTTAATTTATTACACATTACCTTTCCCTCCAGTAGAATGTAAGTGGGGCAGGGATTCTGTTTTGTTCTCTATTACTCCTCAGCATCTCGTACAATGACAGACACATAGTGGTTGCTCAATGAACAGTATGTTTATTTATGTTTAATTGATGATTTTTAAATGAATTGGTAAGTGTGTTCCATATTTGTAACCTTGTGCAAGCATGTGTGGTATAATGCAGTGTTTCACAGTTCCTTCTAAGCCATGTATCTTTTTGATAAACTTGAATATCATCATTCTCCTAAACCTCTCCTCGGATGGGAGTCATACATTGCTTGTCTTCTGCATGTAAATAAACCCTGAGCCACAGAATACATGATCTGTCTTCCTAGCCCTGCTGGACAGGAAAATTGACCCCAGTTTTTCTTCATTCCTCCATTAGCATTTACACAATTTTTTTTTTTAATTTACAAAACATCATTTCATGTTATAATAGTGACTGTCTTTCTGCATTCTATATATTCTTACCCAGAAAGTCTAAAACATTCCTTTTCTTTCTCTTTCTTTTTGGATCCACACACCACAATAAGTTTCTACTGAACTTTCTGAGTCTTTGTTTTTCCAAGTATATAATGAGGACAATAGACCCACTGGCAGAATTATTGTGAGAATTAGGAACAATATTCATGAAGTACTTGGCACAGAACAAATAGCTCCTGGCTGCCTCTTTTACCAAATGATTAGCTTTGCCCTTGGAACTATATTTGCCACACTAAACTGGTCTGGAAACTTACCATTTCTCTCCTAAGCAAATGTTTTCACAGCAAAGCAAAGTGAGCTGCGACAAAGAGCTTCTCTCCAATGTTTCCAAGTTGCCTGGCCATGTCGCCTTCATTAGCTGCTCCATCAGACCTGAGGTCAATGTGCGTTTTTTGCCACCTGCTGATGCCTCATCTCTGTAGGCTGCAAAAGAAACAAGACAGCCCTAATTTGTTTGATTTTGTATCACATCCAGGTACTCCTTCGGTATTGAGACTGCTAATAATTGAATGTTTTGCTACCTAGGCTTGAGTTATCTAACAATAAAATGAACGCAGAGCCCAGGTGAGATTGCAGCAAATTATAGGAAGCATCTTCCTGGGTTAATTGCTTTCGTATTTAACTGTATGCTAATTATTAGTTCTGCAAGACAGATACCCAGAGAAATAGCAAAGTAACAGCAAAAACAAACAAAAAAAAGATAACACATGGATATACATGTAAGTTTCATAGGACGATTCACCAAATTAAAAGACAAAGAAAAAACACAATACCTGAATACCTTCAGAGACATAGTTGGCATGGTTGCCTAGAAATGTAGGCATATGGAAATATAGAATTTCTTTTATCAGAAATAGACATCCCAGCCCAGTTAAGATAATTCAAGGAAGAAGCTCAACTGTGCTGGTGGAGGTGGGCCTGGCAATCACCTGCCTAAGGCACAGAGCCTATCCAACATTCCTCTCCTATTAAGATCCATTGACTTGCTGTATCCTAATAAAGTTCAAATCCATTAGCATGGACACATTTATAACTCAGTGTCTCTTTAACCACTTCACCCACACTCAGAGTGCTGAGACTCATTCTGCCCTCCTCCTCTGGACCAGCACACTCTTGCTTAGTCTTGGGCTGTTGGCTATGCCCAGGATGACTTCTCCCCTGCTCCTCTCCATCCCCTTTACTTTGCATCTAAGATGCCCACTGGGGGGTCAGCACTCATGTCATTTCCAAGGGAAGAAAGACATTGCTCTAAGTCCTCGGGCAGGAAGCCACCCCTGTCTGAACACCACAGCCCCCTGGTATGGCTGAAGGAGCTCTCACCACCCTCTTTCACAAATGATTGACCTCCCAGAGAACACAAGCCATGCTGCCTTGCTCTAAATGTGGACCATAGCACACTGTGGACACGCAGCAGGTGCTCAGCACAAGCCTTCGTGACAGCCACGCCTGTCCTGCAGAGCTGAAGTTACAGAGCTGAACTAAAAGCAATTTTGCTAACCTACCTACCCAAATCCAATCCTTCTCCCATACTCTTATCTCAAAAGGAAGAGACAAAAGATACTTGGAACTTTGATTCTCCCAGTGCCGTGGCTGTCTTTTCTACTAGGATGGATGTTCCTCAAGGTTGGCCACCCCATCTCCACCCTCACACCAACCCAGTGGCCTTGTCACCCTTCTTCATGGGTACTTACCCATCTCTGGCCTTTTGGTTCTAATCACTCTGCCTGGCATCTTCATTTCCAACTCCTCTTATTGAGTTAGTCATTTAAGGCCCTGCTTAAAAGCATCTGTTTGAGGTAGTGGGTCCCAGAAGTAGACCCTAAAGTGGAGATTTATTTGCAAGTGATTTATGAAGAAAGATCAAGTTGAAGCAGAAAACCAAAGGGAAGTTAGGAAGCAGGAAAGGGAAGAAAAGGAAGCCAAACAAGAGCAAGAGCTCAGCAAAGGCTTGCAGAAGCAGAAGATTGGCTTTTACTCTACGTTTTTTTTCTAGGAGTTTTATAGTTTCAAAGCACCAACATTGATCCAAAGAAGACCTATCAATGGCCAACAGGTATGCACTAACAATCAGGGAAATGCAAATCACAATCCCAGTGAGATATCACCTCACAATTATTAGGAGACTGTTATTAAAAAAGAAAAGAATGAGAAAAAAAGAAAAGACAAGTGTTGGTAAGGATGAAATTAAAACACTTGTACCCTGTTGGTGGGAATGTAACATGGTGCAGCTGCTATGGAAAACAGTATGGAGGTTCCTCAAATAATTAAAAATGGAACTATCTTATGATCCAGCAATTCTATTCCAATTTTGGGGTTTTATCCAACAGAATTGAAAGCAGGATCTCAAACAAATATCTACACTCTCATGTTCAGTATAACGTTATTCACAATAGCCAAGATAGAGAACCAATCTAAGTGTCCATTGGTATATTTACATGATGGAATACTATTCAGCCTTAAAAAGAGGAAATCTTGCCATCAGTGGCAGCATGCATGAACATGGAAAACATTATGCTAAGTGAAAAACTAATACTGCGTGATCTCACTTATATGTGGAATCAAAAATGCTCAAACTTGTAGAAATAGTGAGTAGGATGGCTGCCAGGGTCTGCAAGGAGGGGGATGAGGAGTTGTTTTTCAATATGTATACAGCTTCAGTTATAAAAGAAGATAAAGTCCTAGAGATCTGTAGGATGGCATAGTGCCTATAGATAACAATGCAGTATTGTGCATTCAAAAATGTGTTAAGAGTTTAGTTCTCATGTTAAGCATTCTGAACATAATTTAAAAAATAGGCGACAATATCTAGTCCAGAAGTGGATAAATCTGATCCACTGCCTGGTTTTGTAAATAAAGTTTTATTGAAACACACACATACATACACACACACGTGATACCCAAAAGAAAGCATGTTCTAAAAATGACTTATTTTTAATAGGTTTCCAATGAATCCTATTTCCCTCACCAGATCTTGGCCGAGTTAATACTAACCCCTGGCAAACTGGCCTTAGGCTGAAGCTTTTTCCAGACATATGAAAAGTAACTTAGTTACTTCATAACATGTTTACTCAGTTCGGAGAAGAAAAGGCAGTAATTGGATTTATAATGATTAATAAGGTTGTTGGAAGATTTGCAATTATCTTCTATTCCTTATTTTAATCAAGGTAAGGGAATTGAGTCTAGATAGGTAAATCTCTTTGTACTGCTAACTAACCTGGCATTAGTGGTCTGTGGAAAAGTTAATTTAGGTTGCAAATAATGACCCTATTTAGCAGGATTTTGCTCACCCTATTTCTTTCATTATTTCATCCTTTGCATTATTTGGGAGACAGTGAATAAAGGAGAGATGATGTCAACATTCTGTGATTTACAATTCATTTGCCACATGGGGCTGGTGAGGACTGAGTTGCCTGCTGACAGGGACAAAAGGTGAACAGCATCCAAGCAATCAGGACCCTGACCAAATATCTCCTGAGGGGCCCCAGAGAGCCGGTGAAATCATCTCCCCAGTCCCAGAAGGAGATTCTGGCACCCACAGCACCTGAGCTAAAGAATCAAAAAGATATGGATTCTAATCCAACAAAGGGAGCCAAGTTAGAAATCTTGACAGGTAATGAGACACTCACATCCGCCAAGGTGAACAGATGGCCTCCTTCAGAGGACACAGAACAATTGTCACTAAAAACAAGGACGTCAGATTGTGTGAAAAGAAGGCGGCTCTCCAACCTTGGCTCCCTGGGAAAATAGGACGAGCCATGTTTGAGAGGAGAGGAAGGGAGGGGAAACTTGAGAATGAAAGATTGTTTGTAGAAATGGATAGCTGGGCAGATAACTCTCTCTTTGGTCTAGGATTTCTAAGAAGTTGGTGTCATTGTGTATTCATTGCTGAAATGAAAGGCACCATCACACCTGGCAGAAATGCAGGGATTTGGGGATTTAAAGAAAGAACATCAGAATAATGTGTGTTTGTTTTGTTTCTAACATGTGAAGTACCCAAATCCTTTTTGGGTCTTGACACGTAAAATTTTATATATACATATATTTTTTCCTATCAAATGACTACAAATACAATTAAATCTATATTGCATTTTAATTCTCTCCAGAGTTGGGCTTTATTCCAAGAGACTGCTTTGTGTGTAATGTATGAAGTTTTTAGAAAAGCAGTACCAAATAGACAATTTATTCTGACTTTAGATAAAACAGCGGCAAAAGGAAGTAAAATTCTCATTCAGCAGGACTCCAGATTCAGGAGTACCCGAGACTTGACATCTTCATCCTTCAAGGGGGCTTCTCAAGTCCCTCCTCTAGGAAGGCAGACTGGCCATGTTTTACTGACAGGTGGCATGTATCGTATTCATGCCTGCAAGCACAGGAAGGGTGACTGACTCTGGCCCAGCCTGATATATTTATTGATAACTGCTAACATGTGGGAAGCCATCCCAACCCACTGTTCTTGTGGATGGTTTTCCCTTAAGAAAACATTTTATTTCCTGTATTTCCTCTCTCCATACTGCTAGGGGAGGGAATGAGGAGGGGAGTGGACTGGATTACCTAGTTGGTAAATTTGGGAAGAATCAGATGGACATATCTGGCTCCAACCTCTTAGGAGCCAGCTTCCCACCTGGAGCACGAGCTCCCTTCTGCGCCTCCTGCTGCAGGGTTTGCCCAGCCAAGCTGCCCCGCTGTGCTGCCGGCATTGGATGGGCAAACCTGCTGCTGAACCCTGCAGCTCAGGTGGAAAGCGAGCTTGGCTCATCCTTACAGCTACATCTCTCAGCCTCAAGACTTAATGAAGGTGATCAGTGAGTCTCCATTTTTTACAAATTATCATTTCTCAAACTGTTTGAACACAGGCAAGGAAGAAAGATATGTCTTGGGAACCTCTTCCGAAAGGACCCCAACAGGAATCTATAGTAAAATAAGAGTGGCATCTGAAGGTATACTCAAGGGGAAGAGCCTGTATTTGTACATAATGGTGCTTAGTATCCACACACTAGGTGGATTGTCCTACTGGCAGGTTAATTAATTGATTCCAATTACCAGGGGAAGAAAGAAAAGATTTCTGCTATAAAATGAGGCATTGGCAGGCTTTGTCTAGAGCAATGGAGAAATTCCCTGGAGCTCTCCTGTGCCCCTGTGTATTTCTATGTTCAGTGGTAAAGATTAATGAAAAACTACAGCAACCAAAACAAACAAACAAACAAACAAACAAACTAAAAAACACTGACCAGCTTGAGGTCCTAGCTGAGGGCAAGGGAAATTTGGAAAAAGTGAGAGAAGAAAAAAGTGACAAATACTCACTATAACTGTGTGATCAGTTGCAGAAACAAGGGCTTTAGAAGCTTAGCATATTTTATTCCTTGCATGTGTGTGTGTGTGTGTGAGAGAGAGAGAGAGAGAGAGAGAGAGTGAAAGCG